TCTAATTAAATGCAAGGGAGCGCAAGTGACAGGCACAAGTAAGACGGGCGCGCAGAAAACCATATTCTAATGCTAAAGCTGTGATGAGAAAATGGAATCTACGCACCTGACAGGAATATTAATGCAAAACCTTGACCTATAATTTCTCTTTCTTCAGTCTGAGAGAGCCAGCAACAATTGCAGCTCATTAAAACGGACCATGTCCTGACAGTCGTGCATAATGCCCACGTCCCGCAAGTCCCATCGTGGGCATTATCATAGAGCTGCATGGTCCTGCATGGCTAGGAACAGGAGACTGCAGCCAACCCTGAAGACCCCTTCTCCCTTTTCAAGCCAGTATCATGAGAGAAAGAGCGAAGGGGAAAAAAACAAAAGACAAACCCAAAAGTGCTGGTTTGGATTGGACCTCTGGAGTTGACCTGGACCATCCCCCTGTTCAAAGCAGGGCCAATCTCAAAACTAAATTCAGTTTGAAAGTTAGTTCAGGTGGCTCAGTGTTTAGTGTTTCCAAGGATGGAGATTTTACAGCCTCTCTGGGCAGCCTGTTCCAATGCTGCCTTGTCCGGGCTCAGTCTGGAAGCCGTTCACCACATCACAACAACATCTGGCTCTACTTTCTTAACTGTTTTCTCAATGCAAAGTGTGTGTTGGCATGTGGGATGCAATAAGTATCAGTAGGGAAGGTGATACCATCATGCAAAGACAATTCTTTTGCAAGGAAAAGTGCTTAGAAAACAGCCCCACATGAGATAGGGTGAGAAGGAAGGCACTGCGGTATTTTATTCTGAGTTTGGTGCTGCTTTTCTATAAGGCACTGCCAGAGGAGTTCTTGAAGACAGAATGACCAAAGTGTTGTCCACTTTGGGCTTGGTATTTGGCACAGACTTGAGATGGCAGGGCTGGGGTTAGCTATGGTAGAGCAGCAGACACAATTGCATCTCTCTTTCTCCACTGAGCAGAGAGGTCTGTATCCCTCTCCGGAGGCATCCCTCCCTCCCTTCGCTCCCTATGGAGAGAGCCAAAGGCAACAAGCTTCCTAGCCCTGACACCTCTGATATGTGTGAAAATGGATGGGTTGAATGCAGGCCTAAAATATTTTACATTTTCACGGTAGTTTCACAGCCCTGGCATTATCAAATGATCTTTCAACGTACTTGGAAGCAGGAGGAGAATAACTTGAGATGGATTCTGGCTTTTTTGTGTCTGTGTACTTGCAAACTGTCTCTGCCTACACATCTCGCAGGGCCTGTGTGCCTGTTTGGATATGCACACGGAAAACCGGTGCTCGTGTGGATGCTCTGTCTGCTCCATTCCCCCTTCGAAGTTTGAAGGCCGTTCAAAGCAGGTCCCCATCCCTGGGTGGTTAAGATCAAACTTGCCCTATGCACTGTACTCCATTGACCAGGCTAGTTAGGAACTTGTGGCTAGGAAACACAAGACAATTTTAAAATCTGAACAAAAGTAGGAGATTAAGGAAACCAGCTGGAAACCTCTATTTTGCTGATTTTGAAAGCAAAATGTGGGTCACAGATGTGCTTCCACAGACAGAAACTGGCTAGAGAAGAAAAGGACATCAGCAGTGTCCAGACTCTTTGATGATCAGAGGTAGATTTAGCTCCTAGGCATGAAGACAAGAAAGGAAGAGGAGACAAAGTAGGAATAAAAACATAATCAAGAGATTAGGAATGTGGAACTCAACCCACCCGTAAATTTGCCTTAGGGAACGATGAAAAAATGTGGTAACGGAAAAAGATGAAACCAACTGCTGCATCTTACTCTCTTGCCTTCTCTTGCTGTCCTTATGGTTTTACATTTTGCTGTCCAAGACACAGGAGGCCCATTACAGAACCTCCCCTCTTCCTCGGACATGTTTTTTCTTTGCAAAAGTGCTGTTTTCTACTGTTCCTTCGCAGTAGTTATGAAATCCTTGCTAAGGACAGGCTGACTTTCGAGCCTAAAAGAAGCAAAGCTTTGCAGGGAAGTCTACACTGTTAGACAGCCATGCATGGGAGAGTAGAAAGCAATGTGTTCCTGCCCATCTTTGGTAGGAGAGAAGAGCTGTTACTCACTTCTTGTTTAGGCTAATACAAAATATTAAATCTATTTTCAGTGAAATTAATGATAGACTAATAAAAGCCATGCTGCTAGCTCTTGCAGGCTGTTGATTAGCCTGTGACTTGGTCTCCCAGGGGCCGTAACAGAAGGCCTGTTGTTCGAGCCATTTAAAAAAACTCAAGGTAAAGCACTGGAAGAGCAATGTAGGACAACAGCAGCACTGACTCGGAGAAGCCCAAGTGGTGGTTCCTTAGAAATAGCCAGGCAGTGGAGGGGGGGTTCTGAAAAGCATTCAGGGCATTCAGCGGGCAGTTTCTGGGGCGAAGGGAAGTGCCTGGACCACTCCTGAAGGTCCCACCCGTGCTGACCATGACAGGACCTGGTCGCTTGGTGCCTTCGGGCTTTGCGACACGTGCTGAGCCGCCAATCTCCGACTCCTGCAGCAAACCTCCCTCCTGCCAGCAAAACACCAGTCCCTGTGGCTTAACACCAAGAGAAGCCTGAAATAAGTGCGATGCTAGTCCAGCTCACTGCCCGTCACTGTTTTTCAAACTTTAGGGAACTTCAGTTCTTGTCTGGAATTTATTTTTCTCAGCCCTAATGAAAACACATTTTCTAGTTGCTAGTGTTTTAAATCCAGTATCAGTGTCAATAAAGATAAGCCCTTTCCCGGGGCAGGGCGGAAATAGAAAACTGTCTCAAATCTTTCACTCAGGCAGAAGAAAACAACCCCAAAGCATTGAAGGATTAAGTGAAAAATATGCCTCTTTTCACTGGGAGTCCACTGGGCGTGAATAAGTGCCAGCTGAGCTCTCACTTGCATCACCATCTGGTGTGATGGCACCGGGGCCTAGAGGTGCAGCAGGACGCGTTACCGTGCCTGCCCTGTGACAGCATCTCTGCTCCTGGTGACGGCACCACCAGAGGCTCCTCAACGGCAGCAGGTCCGTAAACGCCAAGGACTTTGTTATCACCGTCTGACCTAGCCCAGAGAAAACAAGTGTCCAGCCACAGCACGATTCACAGCGCGGCTCAGGAGAGAGGCAGCACAGCCCTCCCCTCCTCCGGATGCAAGAGATTTTGTTAAAGACACCGAAATTCATTTTGCTGGGCTGCAACCACACGAGGCAGCACAGCCCTCCCCTCCTCCGGATGCAAGAGATTTTGTTAAAGACACCAAAATTCATTTTTCTGGGCTGCAACCACGCATTGATATTGCCGCGAATACCACAGCACAGAGCCTCTTCAGTTGACGTCTAGAAACTGCTTGTGGTTTCAGAGCTCTTGCTGATGAATTGCCCAGCAGCTGGTCACATTGGGAGGGCTATGCTTATTATTTTCAACTGCTATCTTGCATGGAAGGAAAATCAAAATACTTTCCTCAAGGTAATTGGCTCTAAAACAATTGAAGAATTTTCCACAGGGTTGTAATGCAATTAGGACTGGCATTTTATATAATTTATATCTCTAAAGGTATGTTTATGCCATCAAACTCTTCTTTTGTGAAAAAAAAAAATTGCTGGCAAGAGAAGGCAGATTTTGCTATTACAGGCAACGAAAGATAGATTAAACATAAACGTCCACCTAGTAGTGATTAAAAGGCAGCATAATGTCAGGATCATCACTGAGATGCAGTGGCTTGTGGTGAGAAATGCTTGGGTAGGATGCTGTGACACCAACCACACATCTGCAGGTTTCCCATTTGGTTTTCGGTCAATGCCAAGTGATGTGTCATCACTCGCCTTCTGCTGCAGCACCGCAAGAGCAGAAATAATCCTGCGCTCCCTAACTGCCCTGCCAGCTTGGATGGGAAGAGCTGGTGCAGGCTGGGGACGATCAGGCCCACCACACAAACAAAAGCATCAGCCACGCTGGTGCTTGGGTTCGTGTTTTGATAGATATCCAGGAAAACCCTAAGCAGAGGTGCCAGACAATCCAAATATGCAATAACAACTCCAGAAGTGCATGAGTCAGCCGGTGAACTTGTCGACACGGGATATTGTGAACGCCAAAAGCATGGACGTAGCATTCCCTTGTCACCATCTGGGGAAACCTCTATTTCCCTGACTACCAAGAGGTCCACGGGTATAACCGGGGAAATGATCGCTCCGTGCTTGCTTGTTCCTTACGCTTAAACTTAACCACGTTTTACTGACTACTGCCCAAGACACAGTACAGGGCCAGGGGACATTTTGCCTGACTGCGACTGAAATTATGGGATGAAAAGCTTTAGCCTCCTTGCCTAGGTGGAGGCAAACAGATTGGATGAATTATCATTAGAAATGGGTCTGAACTGAAACTAGGGAGGCACTCAATGTTTCTTCAGAGCCAGAGCAGCCCTTTAATGGGTAGATGTCCTGTCCTTATGACGGGATAAACCAAAGCCATGCATTCAGACAATCACCATTAAAAAAAATCTGGGTGCAGTCCCTAATGGTAGAGATGCCACTGACTGTATTATGAGAATAACTCAATGCCTCTGTAAAAGCAAAGACGTCCCTTACCCTTGGTTGTAATCCAGCTGCCTGTCAGTGCAGCGTATGACTATCGGAAAAGCAAACCCAAGAGCTGTACTGCTGTACAAAGCAGGTGATCACACCCTTCTGTTATCTATCAGACAAATGAAGAAGCCATCAGCCACGTCCACGGGCTGCTCTGCCTCTGCTCACTAGATCCATGTTTGTGGAAACCTACCTTGAACCATTTGGGAGCAGTTTGGGAACCTGGCCTCAGGGTCACGGACCTGACCCCAGATCAGCCAGAGGGGATATGAATGTCCTGCCTGATCCCTTCTGCCTTGCAGCAGCCTGTGACACAACAACATCCCAGTCTGTAAGCAGAACCGTGTTCAGATCCACTGCTATGAGGTCATTAACTTTCGTTAAAACTTTCACAAGCCCAATTGCAGCTTCTTAACACAAAAAACTACAGACAGGGATACTCACTATTGGGCCGAGTCGTTAAGTTGATATTCCCGGGACCGGTTGAAGCATTCTTGGATCCCAGAGTCTGCCCAGAGTCTCATCATAGCTGACAGCAGCTCTGGAGAGAAGGGCTCTGTGTCCTCCATCCGACTTACGACATCGCAGACCATCTTGGCATCAGCCTGCAGAGGAAAGAAACAAGAGGTCACATAGATGCTCAAGGCAGAATTGGGAGCCAGAGATTTCAGAAACAGTTCACCAAACCGTCAGGAGTAAAGAGGCTGCGTTTCTCGGGATGGGGCTTTAGGATCCACACCGCGTGATCCAGCAGAAAGGGCAAAAGGAGGATGGAGCAAAGCAGCCACAAGGGAAGAGGTTATTTGTGCAATCCACCTCACGTCAACCAATATTTCTATTCAGCAGACAAACCCGTCGGCACTGCGTATGTGTGGAGCTTCTTGGGAACAGAAGGAAATTCATATATGTACAAGTATATTTTAAATTGTCAGCAAAGTGACGCATATCCTGCAACGATACCCGTTTTAACAGAGTGGGTGACCTGGCTGAAGTAGGGGCCATTTCTACCAGAAAGGACAGCAGAAACGCTCCAGAGACCATTTTTTTCAGACGCTGGTTTATTGCTTTTCCTGAATTCTTGTTCTTTCCTATGAGCCCCTGCTAAAAGGGCTAATTCATGTTAACACTGACCACCTTGGCTGGCTGTCGTGCTTTGTGAGTCAGAGGGAGAGGAATCTCCCGCGGTTAAGGAATATGGCTGTGAGGGCAGGGCCAGCTGGCCGTTTTCGGATGGAATCCTTTTTGGTGAGAAAAATGTGATTTGCCGGAACAGCAACTTTTCCTGGAGGATAGTGTTCTGACACAACTTGGGTCCGGAAGATGTCTCAGATTTAGGATGGGAACGTCTAGACAGCCTTGGAATAGCTGAGTTCAGCTCTACTGTAATAGTCCACTGTGGCTGATGCTTCACTCATTTGTGAAGCCGGACACCCAAATTCATGACCCTCCTCCGCTCGCTTTGCAGTAAGCGCATCTCCCGCCCCCCCACCCCCTGACTCCTGAAACCCCAGGGGTGTTGGCTAATCTGCAGAGTTTTTCTTTCATTGCTTTGAAAATTCTGGAAAAGTCTCATATTTCTACCAGCTGAAACAAACCCAATTATTATTGCTATAATTAATTGGAAAAGAGGAGCTCTTAGTCCTTATTTATGCTTACAGGAAACTAGTGAAGACAACCTCCTTGTTTTATTACCTTTTCTCTTGTCTGCTACATCGAACCCATTCTTGGACAAATGCAGGTGGAAGTCTTCGCCTTCCAGGGTGTTTGGTCTAAATCAGCAAATGCTGACCAGAAACACGAGTCTCGCAAAGGAGGGTGCAGGCAGTCATTAACCCACTTGCCTAATACTCATCCCAGTTAGACTAGAAGCTTGGAGAGTATAAACACTACACATTACGTAAAGCTCCACTGTCCTGGTTCCGGATGGGACAGAGTTAACTTTCTTCCTAGTAGCTTGGGGAGTGTGCTGTGTTGTGGGTTTGGTATGAGAGGAGCGTTGATGGCCCATTGATGCTTTGGTTGTTGCTGGGTGGTGCTTGCACCGGGGACTTTTTGGCCTCCCATGCTCTGCCAAGTGCAGGGGAAGCTGGTGGGGGGGAGCATAGCCGGGCGGCTGACCCAGCTGGCCAGTGGGGTATTCCATCCCATGTGATGTCATGCTCAGTATATAGTTAGGAGGCGTGGTCCGGGAAAGGGGGGCTCTCGTGTCTTGGAACAGGCTGGGCATCAGTCGGCGGGTGGTGAGCAGTTGCATTGTGCATCGCCTGCTTTGTATATTCTGCTATTGTTGTTGTTCTCATTGTTATTATTACTGTTCTACTTTGTTTTATTTCAATTATTAAACTGTTTTTATCTCAACCCACGAGTTTACCTACTTGTGCCCTCCCGATTCCCTCCCCCATCCCACTGGAGTCGGGGGTGAGCGAGCGGCTGCGTGGGGTTTAGTTGCTGGCTGGGGTTAAACCACGACAGGCGTGCAGCCCCTGGGGAGCCCGCACATCGCCTGCTAGAGGAGCTCCTACATCCTTCCTGGCTACACCAGCCTCTGTCCTGTTCCTCTGCCCTGCCAGGTGCCGCTGATGCTCCTGTCTGAAGCTCAGATTTAGCAGCTATGATGGGAACAGCCCAACTGCTGAATGAGTTGCTCTCCCTGGGTACCACCTGAGCGCTGGGGACAAGGCGTTAGAGGTTTTGTGGCAAAGCAGATTATTTCTTAGGTCATGGGTACAATTAGAAGTGGAGGAGTGCCAATGTTGAAGAGCACCACAATAACCCAATTGCATGGGTGGGAACGACGAGGTGTATGACATGGCCTGCATGGCCAGGATCAAAACTCCTCTGCAGCCTCTCTTTATTGAACACTGGAATTGTTGAAAAATTGCAGGGCACCAAGCCGCTAGCCCTGGAGACTGAAGCTGCTGGAGATTTCAACGCTCAGAGAAAGAGCCTCAAGTCCCCTGAACATCCAGTCTTTACGGGCTGAAGAAGTCTCAGTCCTGTATGGACACACCATCTCATAAAACTTAATGGGATGGAGTGTCTATGCTTTGAAGACATGAAGAACATAGTGTCTTTCTCGCAGAGTACTTAACTTCATATTTTAGTGCCCAGGAATCCTCCCAGCCCTCTGTACAGACTCTGCTCATTTTGGTGACTCACACCTCAAAGCCAAGACAAACGAAGAACCTTGAAGAGTTGGTTCATTTCAAAAGCTTGTCTTCTGCCCCAGAGTGCTTCGTGAGCTCAGTGAATATTCATAAATCATCAGTACGGTTTGCCTGCCCTGCTGGAGCTGTAATTCTGCTCTTTTCACGGACTCTGAATAACACAAAACCTGCTAATGGCCAGTTCGCTCAGGGCTGCGGTCTGTCGTGGCGCTTTTTGTGCATGGGTGGTGCAGAAAAAGCATCCATGCTTTCAGTCAGGTAGGAAGGAGGTCTTTCATATGTTATCTTGACTACTGGGGGGGGATTATATGTGTCTGTCACAGATCTGTCCCTCTGTTTGTGATGGAAAAGCACATTTGAAGCTCTCCCTGTTATGGGCAGGGTCTGGGCTTCTTCTGAGCTTTGTGGATTTAACTGCAGGTTGCTTTCTGCAAAGCATCAGAGGGAAGGGCACAGTCATCACATTTTCTGTGCTGGGAAATAGCTGCCTCGCCTTTTCCACTACCGAGACTTGTGGCAGTACCCTGTGATTTCAGACCCAACGCAAGAGGGTTTGAGCAGAAGACATAGATGAACAGCAATGACAGGGCAGAACATGAGTGACCAGGGACAGGCATCTCTGGCTGTGGCTATCAGGTCTGCTCGGGCCAGAAGCGGGGCTGAACTCATAGGGCAGGGGATTATTTTGGTACGTGCTCCTCTGCAGCCACCGGAGATCCCTTTTGGGGATGGGAGAGGTTGCCCTCCCGCAGTGCAGGGCAGAGAGTCGACAGGCTGGAGCAGGGGAACGGCTCGTAGGAAAGTTTATTGCTTCTGCTGAATGGTAATAAAAATATTCCAGACTTAGTTTTATTTTGCAGATTGAACCATTGAACTCTCAATTTTATAGACCCAGAAAAAGCAGGTGAAACGAGTATTTTAAAAAATGCTCCTCCCCCCTGCCAAGAATGAAGCCCCTCTGTCAAGGAGCATGGGGCCATCCAGGAGTTCAGGCATTTGTTAGATGATTTAACGAGCAATTAAGGATCCAAGAAGAGAAGATACCCCTTTCTTTTCTCACTCTCCAGGCTGCATCTCAAGCTGGGAATGACATTAAAATCTCCAGCCCCCCCTGGTCCCAGCAGGTAGATTTTTAAATACTGCCTGATTGACTTTTCCCTTCCCGCCTCCCCTGGGTCTGGAGCTCCCGCTTTTCCCGAGGTGAAAGGA